CAACTTATCCAGAACTTTGCTTGCAGAATAATCCTAGGTATCAAAAAATTTGATCATGTCTCTGCTGTGCGCAAATCCCTTAGTTGACTAAGCATCCGTCAAAAACTTCTATTAAATATTGTTACTATGGTTCAAAAGTGTAGGACAAATCAGGCACCACCTTATCTTTGTAATTTATTTCATGACAGATTTAGTGTGTCAGGACGCAGCACTAGAAACATGTCACAGTTGAATCTACCTAAATGCGGATTGTCAACTGGTCAACACTCTTTCGCCTTTCGTGGGGCAAAAGAATACAACCTACTCCCAGAAAACATTCGCAACTTAAACAATACCTCAAGTTTTAAAAGGAAAGTCCCCTCCCACTTTCTTGCAAACTCGTCTTAGATTGAATCAAATTTTTGACTGTATATAAACTCATGTAAATATTTCTTGTTGTAACAGATGTAAATCTTTTTTTTTGGCCCCATTGTAATTTTATTATTGTATATTTGTTATTGTTGTATATTACGACAGAATAGTATAGAGGAGTCGTAATAAGGTGTATGTATGTATGTATGTATGTATGTATGTATGTATGTATGTATGTATGTATGTATGTATGTATGTATGTATGTATGTATGTATGTATGTATGTATGTATGTATGTATGTATGTATGGGGTTAGTGAAGCGATATGGCATTGAAGGTCAGGTTCGAGTCAAGTGTGACGCTAAGGTCCTTGACAGAAGTTACAGGTACTAGGTCTTGACCAAGGAAAGGTACGGTGATGTTACTGGGCAACTTGGAGATAAGTTGCCTCACCCAAAAAAGGACAAACTTGGTTTTTTCAGGATTGATCAAACAGTGGTTAGTACAACACCACTCTAAAACATGTTTGAGATTCTCAGCAACTTCTTTTATTTATTTAGCTTCGCCTAACTAGAATACAATCTTTATACATGAATACATAAAAATTATTAGGCAGGGAGACCACTACAGCCTAACCAATTACAGTGGATCCCTCGTTAATTAAAAACAAAACAAAAAAAAAACAATCGTTGAAAAAAAAAAGAATAACTAAAGCTACTGATATATAAACAAGAAAATCCAAAGGAAACAAAACAGAAGTTCAAATTACTAGAAGCAGCACGTCGGAGGGTACAGTAGAGTCCTCGCTATGTTGCACGTGGGACAGATTGTTCTTCAGGTTCTGATGTCGTCAACATCGCACAGGTCCAGTGCCTTATTGTAATATTGAAGTAGTTAATGCTTAAATGAGGCTAGAGAGATGTGACTTGTGCGTAATGCAGTGGGCAGAACATACCATGTGCGGCACGCGCGTGTGAAAAATGAGCGTTGATAAGTAACAGTTCTACTTCGCTTAGAAATATAAGTAATAGCATTGCTGCTCGATGACCTCGTAGATCTCGTTGATTGTCTAGTTGCAGGCAGAGCTTCACTATCTATGAAAACTAAGTTATTAACAGCTTTATAGAAAAAGACTATATCCAAAAATTCATGCCAGTATGAGATAGGTAACAGATTTGTTAGTTGGAGGCGGGTCTTATAGGTTACATCGCAACGGAAGGGGAGCTTCAAAATTAGTTTTGTTGCATGGCGCTTCACGTTTTCAACTCGTTTTAGTAAACCAATGGACTGTGGCGAGCATACTTGGGTTGCGTAGCCGAGATGGCACCGGACGATAGAAAGGTAAAGTGTACGACGCGTTTTGATGCTTTGGATGTGCCTAGAAGCTCAGCGCACAAAGCCAAGGAGTTTGTTGGCTTTCGCACACTGTTTAGTCACTTGTTTGTGCGAGGTAAGATTTCTCGACACCCACACACCAAGGTCTTTCTCTGTATCGCAAGATTCCAAAGGATATTATGGGTGGGCTGAACAGGTGATTTTTTGCGGGTGATACACTGGTATTTAAACTTGTACTGATTAAATATGAGCCCAGATGATTCGTACCAACTGACAAGATCGTTAAGATCTGATTGCAAGGCATTACAGTCTGTGATGGAATCGATGCTCTTGAAAATCTTGGTATCATCGGCATGACAGGCAACTCTCGATGTCTTAACAGTGTTTGGTAGATCATCCGCAAACAACAGAAACAATATCGGCCTTAGTAGGAATCCTTGTGGTACCCCGGATGTAACCGGCAATTCTTGGGAAGTGGCTCTTAGAACTATAACCTGTTGCTTGCGTTCCTGTAAGTATGAACAGAACCAGTCGTGACGTTTGCCAGTAATGCCGTATTGTTGCAACCATCCAAGTAACTTGGTGTGATCCACTTTGTCGAATGCCTTACTCATATCAAGATATATAATGTCTATTTGTTTACCGGCGTCGAGTTGACCGCCAATGTAATGTAAGACACTGGTGAGCTGAGTCACACAAGATCTACCAGCTAAAAAGCCATGCTGTTCGCGACTGATGAGGTGGGATATATGATCTTGTAGACCCGCCAGAACGTAGTGCTCGAGAACTTTAGAGATGACAGGGAGAAGGGAAATAGGGCGGTAATTCTCCACAAAGTCTTTCTTTCCTTTCTTGAAAATGGGTACAATATTCGCAAGTTTCCAGTCTCCCAGGAAAATGCCGAGCCGCAAGGATTTGTTGAATAACATGGTCAGGGACGGCGAGATCTGGTCAGCGGTTTCCTTCAGCACCCACACGGGAATTCCATCGGATCCAGTTGCTTGTTTATATCAAGCTGTTTGAGAGATGTCAAAACCATTTCCACCAGGATCTCCAGCTCATTTAATGTGGGGTGTGAGGATGTAAAATGGGGAGGGAACAGTGAAAACTGACACAAAGTAAGAGTTAAATAGCTCGGCGATCTGTTGAGGTGTTGATGCTTGAGGGCCCTGCTGATTGTCATCACCCGAGGTCATCGTTGCAGGGAAGGTCCGCGTTTTATTCTTGAGCTTAAAAAAGGACCAAAAGCGTTTAGGCTGCCGCGCGAGATCTGTGTCAAGTGAGCTAAAGTAAATCTCGCGGCTCTCGCATATAAGAATCTTGGCCTTTGTACGTAGGTCGCGATACTTCTGTCGTTGGTCTGTAGGAGATTTCTTTAGCTTAGAGCGAGCAGCCTCCTTTTTCCGCAGAGCGTGGATGATTTCACTTGTGATCCAAGGCTGGGTGGTTTTTCCCTTGATCTTTTTGGTTGGGATAAAATCCGAGACTGTGCTCATAAATGCGTCCTTCTGGTAAGTCGAGTCCAAGTTGATGTCGTCGCTGTCTTGAATAAGATTTCATATATTCAAGGCTTCAAGAGCTCCCCAAAGACCGTCAAAGTCTCCTTTACGATAATCGTACACTGTTCTTTTTATTTTGTGAGTAGCTTTTGTAGAGGCGTGAAATTCAAAAGACACCGTGCCATTGTCCATGAACACATCTGATTCTTTTGGACTGAGCACCTCACGCACACGAACACGGTCCGGCACATTCGTAATTACGAGGTCTAACACTCTATCATGACGGGTGGGGATTAAGTTTAATTGTGTTAAAAAATTATCATTAAGAATTTCTAAGAACGTCACCTCTTTTGTGCCACTAGTGTTTTGTGTAGACATGAATCAATGTCCTTTGACATGAACAAAAAATATATCTTAACGTCACCAATGTAAGATTCGGTGTTTCTAAACTCGATGACTTCGGGTAGTATGGTGGTCCATTAGGGTTATAGAGCTGTTTATATCTTTCCTATTTGTTTCTGTTTTTTCCCTTTATTTTTCCGTTTCTTTCTTTTAAATTGTAATTTTTATTTTATAGATTTAGTGTTATTTTCTGACTGTAATTATTTTGCAAAAAAAATGAAATAAATGAAAAGCCAAAATAAAAAATAAAATAAAAATAACCGATTTTTTTCTTTTATTTAGAAATTGAAAAAATTGCACGTGGCCCATGAGGGCCATAAGCCCACAGAGGCCATAGCCCATCAGGCATTTTGACTTTAGATATTCCACATTGCACGATACAATAGTGATTGTGTTTATGCCATGTGCCAACACTGTTCGGTGATTTAACAAAATGTCCCAAGTAGAAAAAGCAGGATTAAGATGCGTTTAGAGCGAGTAGGCAAGAAAAGAACAGCGAACAACAAAGCAGAGTCAAAGGGATTGGAATTTCTAACAGTGCAATGCCCTTCCTCATCTGTTGAAGGCAAGTGCCAAAAATATTCAATCAGCACCCACGAGCCCAAGCAAAGCTGTGGGAATAAAAGAAAGAAATCCTCCCAAACCATCCCTGATGCCTGCATCCATGCCGTTACGTTTAATGTTAAGGCTTGTAAAGGTAATTACTTCTAAAACTGATTTTGTTACTTTAACACTTGCGTTTTCTGTCAAAAACAGCGCACCTACGTGTTTATTCGCTCATGAAGTTCTTTACCGATAGCTGTGGACTGCAGGTCTGCATTTCCTTCAATGAGGCTCTTTTGGGACTTTTTTTTCGTAATTCCTTGACTTTTGAAACATTCTTTTGGTTTTTTACTGGTAGTTGCTGTTAACTACAGTTTTACAGCGAGATATAGAAGGTAAATCATACTTATTTTCGCAGTGTTCACCAGTCTTGATCCCATTATTATGCTCTGAGATTTAGTCGCTATTCCTCGATATGAGGATGAGGTGGTAAATCTGTTTCCCACCAAACACCCACGGAGGCTGGAACTCGGGATTATTCTGAGGGATTAGTTCCACAGTATTTTGATGTATCATTTTACATCGTAAAATTACTCCTTGATAACTTAATTCAAACAGTTGTTTTCGACAAATGTAATATTCAGTTCCTACCATGTACTTTGCCGTTACAATCTTTCATGTATTGCTACTTTCCTAAATAAACGGATCAGGTGATAACAAATACATTTGGGTACTTTGGTCCACTTTGGCCTCGTTAGCACCCCCCCCCCCACATAAAATCCTGGTTACGGGCCTGAAAAACGACCAAAAAGCTTGGTGACTGACACCCATACTGCAACAACCCCGGCCCTAAACTATGCGAAGTTAAACCTAAATAATATTAAATGAGCAGGAATCCTTGGCATTGAGAAGTGCTGTGAATTCCTCTGCAAGTTCATTATAACACTGGTAAGTTGACGGTAACTCTAGTGATGGTCCACAGGTGTGGACAATAGGCCAACGAGATTTGCCTTCTAGAGTTGTAAAAGTAACAGTAATTGTTTTACACAAAATAATATTACTACCTGTCAGAAACTGTAAAAAGTCCCCAAGATCACTGCCATTAAGGCTCTGCACAAACCTTTTAAAATCCTCCAAACTGTTTTGTTCGGCCTCTGGTGTAGGATTTGTTGACAGTAAATTAATTACACTTTTGGCAGTAGGCTTCTTTTCATTGTAAAGTTTTCGCAGATCCCCCATAGTTTGGAATGGTGTGTAGACCCTCATTCTATTCAATATTGGAGCAAGACAATCCACAATATATAGAGGCTTCTGCACCAATTCTTGATGAGCAAGCTCATGTACTATGTTGAAAATGTTGGTTTTGGTAGGACTTTTGTAACACTTGAAGTAACTTAGCAAATCTAGCAGATCTTCATCTTTGGGGTCAAAGTCATTTCCAAGAGCCTTTTCTAAGACGTTACTCTCATCTTGAGACATGTATGACTTAAAAGATTCAATTAAAAACTCAGATTTTAAAGTTTCCTCTCCAAAAAACACACTTGCAACAAAAGCTGGGGACAGGGCAATGGGGAAATACTTAGCAAATGAATAACGATAGACAATTATTCTGCCAATTGCTTCCCACTCCCCTTTCTGGTAACCATGCCTAACACCAGGAACTTTTCCTAATGCACCAACAGTCAAACTACTGAAACATTCATGCCAAAAGGTTCTTAATTCCCCCTATAAGTACCCCTGACCCTTGCCCTTCCTCTTTTACTCCAGTGTGTCCAATTATAGTAAAATCAACTTCATATTGCAGTATACTTGGATCTCTGAATATATCAATCATTTCACCCTTTAGAAGAGCAGTTACAGTGAACAGTCACAGGCTTTAAAGGTCTTTCTCCATGAGATATCTCTTGACTTGCAAAAAGTGGCAAAGCTGTGGAACAATAACAGACAGAACTTGGGGCTCGTGTCATAAAAAGCATAATATAACAGGTATGGTGAAAACTTTTCTGATGTATCACCAGCATCAAAATTTCACAAAAATTTTAAAGGGAAATGTTTTTGTCAGGGCATTCCCAAAAATGAGGGGTTACAAAAATGTAGTATTTTACAGTATGTTATTTTGTCAAACCCCTATGAGTTTCTGATTTTATACCTTCAAAATCATTATGATCAATAAAAGATGACAACTCCAGATCATTTGTGCATTTCGGCGTCTGGTCAACTACACTTGTACTCGGGCTTTCTGTAAATAAATAAAGGTATCAAAACAAAATTTTTAGTAGTTTTCAAAGTTTTATTTTGTTTTTGAAGTTGTATATTGTGGTGTTAGAGTACAGTGCTAATAGGCAGCATCTATTCTCTTATTTCCCAAGACAATATTCAGTAAATATTATATTTTACCTTCATGAGCAGCATCCAACATCTGTGGAAGATCCTCTTCAGTCTCTTCAACAATGATCTAAAAAATTTAAAAAAGAAAAATGCAATCTATGAATTAACAGACAGCCCTCTCAAGGTGGCAGCCAAGTAATGCACACATTGTCTTGGGCTTGCATCAGTGGTTAGCTGGTTTACATTAACTGGACGGCATATTTTATTCACGACATTATACAGGTAAACTAGTCCCGAGAATGTTAAAATGTAGATAGCATATCAATCCACACGAGAAGATTACCTTTGGACTCTGAGGTACAGGGTCATTCTATGTAATTTGGGCTTGAACAAACATGAGAATGGAATTTTTAAAGAGAAATTGGTGATTTTAAGTAATTACTAAGCTATTTACGTTAGTTTAACAAACAAACTATCTGGTGCCCAGTCTCCTCTCTGTAAGTGCGGCCACGTTTATTGTCATTGCCAACACTGGCCATTGATAATTACATACAGGCCGCTTCCTGTTACATATCCATTTAAAAGTTAGATCTTAAAGTCATCTTTCAAAATTGCGATCGTTATAATCTAACTTTTAACATCCTAAACAATAGAACCCAATCTTCACTCGGTCATCTTCCAAGTACACATTGCTGATTCCTAAGGAGTGCGAAAATGTGACATGAACCTGAATGGACAAAGTGCTAGCTTTGCACAATAAAAATGATATCTTTTTTTTGCATTGTTTGACTGTTCTGCTGATAATAAACGACTGTTCAGGAGTTATCTACAGTGTTCACACATTTACAATTACAAAGTGGTGTGCACTCCAACGACGCTTTGGAACACTTGCATCTCTTGCATACTCCTTTGCAAGTACACCGAATGAGCTCTCTGCATGCTTTTGATACTTCAGGGATGCTTATCCACTTAGGAACCCTTGCTCCGTCCTCTTTTTTCCAGGAGAACTCTTCAGGGGATGGTACTATCTGCTGTGAGTCAACACTGGTTGTCCAGATTCCAGCTTGGTAGATTGAGCGGTTGACATGTTGTAGAAGGGCATCCTTTCGAGAATAATTTAAAAGAATCTAAAGGGCTCTACTTGTTAAACAGGATGACTATAAAGCTTTCAAGGCGCTGGAAATGGTCAGAATCAACCGTTAGCTTGTGGAATGAGTTATTGGCAAGGAACTCGAAGGTCTGTGTTATGCCAGGATACATTTCCCATACCTGCCAGGCGGACCTCTTGCCCTTTCCATAGAACGTGGAGGTGGTGTCACTGCCAGTCAACGCGTGGAAGACAGGTAAAGATCTTGAGCGGGCTTCCCCTAGTCCAGCACAGATAGTGTTGATGCTAATGAATGAGAAATTGCGTCCTGTTCCAAACCCCACCCACAGGTCCAGGTCAGGCTGGATTGCTCTGAGATGCTGAAACTTTCCTATCAAAATAGCAAGGACATCTGTATCAACGGTTCTGACAAGTACTGATTTCGCCTTGTTCTCTTGAATAGCATGAAGAATATGGACGACGATCCTTGTGTCTGCCTCCTCATGGTTGCATTCAGGCATGGATCTGTCTGAGCCAATGGAGATCACAGAAACCCCTAAAGGACAAAATCACAATGGGAGTCAGTAAATCATTTCAAATAAAGATGATTTTAATCGTATATAAAAATGAAATGATAAGAATATCAAAATTATGAAAACCTGAAGTAATTAATGTAGACCGTCTTGTTTTCCAGCCAGTTGTATTCAGCAACCTTATTCGTCAGAAACGCAAACAATTCTTCTTTATTTACTGATTCACGTAGGAACTGCATCCAGTTTGGAGGGACCTTGGTGGCACCAGAAACCTTACGGCGAATGCCCTTTCCCCTCTTTTCACATGTCGAATCTTTTAGGCTACCACATACATAGGTGTCCCAAACAACATCTACTCTGCCGCTACTCTGATTGCAGATCTGAGGAATAAAGACGTTCTCTGCATAGTCATCGAAGGTGATCACCCCTGTCACAGGAAGACAATGAACAATGACAGCACCGTCACATATGTTGCAGTCGAACTCTGTTGGAGGCTCGGGCTGTCGAGGCTGCACGATGCACTTAACTAGCTCGGACTTGCTACTTGGGAGACGAAGATTTCCAAATTCAGACAATGATGGAGGAAATGACTGTACCTCGTGGCAAAAGAATTCTCCAAGGTCTGCATCGCGGTCCTGCATAGCAATGTACAGTTGAGCAAATAGGGATAACTTGTTCTGTAGTGCTTTGATTGTCTTCGACTGCTTCGATTTGGTACACGAAGGTTGTTTGCTGAAAAGGGGAAGTTTGTTTTTCTTGACAGAACTGCTAATTGAGATCGTCCTATCCTTGATGACTGCCTTCACATACTCCAGGTACTGTGTTTTACCGAGCTACCTAAGGTTAATCACTGACTGGGCAACAGAATCATCCATGCAATCTCTGCTGTCCATGGTGACAAGCTCTGGGAAGTCATCAAGGAAAGGATTCCCCATTCTCTTTATTACATCTGCCAAATTGTTCACCTGTTGCTTAAACGTCTTTTGTGCACTTAGTCCCATTTTATGATTTGTACGGTCAGTGGACTCCTCACTGTTTAATAGATATTGCTCCTCAAATTGATGCAAAATTCTTGTTGTCTCAGGGCCTGAAAGCATCCATCGTCTGGAAAAGGAACAAAATAAAACTTAATTCAGTATTACCAGTCTTATTTATAAATGGTCTCTCATTTTACCGTGGTGTGTTTCCATACATTTTTCCAGCTGTGTTTATACTGCAATCCGTAAATATAACTCTTCGATGCTTTTTTATGTAAAGACCTTTTTTTAAAAATTTTTGGTAATACAGTATGAGGTGTATAATTTTCATTATTAGATTTCTATATTCACCTAAAGGCTACAGGGTTCTCTGTGAGACCAACTGCACCACCTGCACTCTTGATCACCTTGTTCTCCTGCTCATGGGCCTGATCAAATGGGATAGCGGAAAATCTGTTCCCTGTCTTAGACAAAACCCAGTGGCCTTGCCTCTGGAACTCCCGTGCAATGCTCAGTGGAAGAGACTTCATATCACGTATATGGATAGGTGTCCAACGTGCATAGTTTACATGATCAAGAGCAAAGAATAAAGGTACTAGATCTCCCAGGGCCGCGACATACAAATTGAAGTTATGCTGACGCTGTGCACGTACAACTAGTGACACAAGTGTCTCGTACTCTATGATGGAGTCCCAGAAAAGAAACCTCGGGCTTCTCCTCTTCCTCACTTCCTCCCATGTAGACATTGATGTCTCATCTAAGCACTGGGAAAATGCCTCTCTCTCTAGTTTGTTCAGAGCCAGAGTGGTAACTTGATGGGCATGCCTGAAAAGAAATCATATTGCCGTTCCCAAATAGCTGTAATTGTGACTAAAACAAAGGGGTTTTTCTCAGCAACTCTCTAATTTTAGGTACAATTAAAAACAAGTTTCGTTTGGTACAAAACACCAGACTCCACTAAACTTTGCACTCGCAGAAAAATTAAATAATAGCTTAATGATTAAGCTTTACTGATATCACTCATTCTTATGACCACCCGGTGAGTGTTCACAGTCACTATTATTGTTCTCACTTCGCCCTACCTTGTTCTTGTTAAATGCGTTGCTTTAAGGAAGGAATCCGCCACACCAGATAAGGCGACTTCAGCTTCACTAAGAACGGCAGTCCAGCCTGATTTATCCAGCAAATCACCAAGCGTACTCCATAGTGCCATTTCGACGTGCAGACCACCTAGCATGACGACATACGCTTGCTCTCCATGGGAGACGGGCCACTTCCAGTGAACCAACTTCGCCAAAGCAAAAAGGGGCTGGTCAACGGTGATGGCAAGAACCTGATTTGGGTTGAGAAAGGTTATAGGGTCAAGGCAGGTGGGTGCTCTTCAGTCTGGGTTGAGGCGTGATATGCAGCCCAAGTCACTGTATCACTAGAAGAAATGGATACTTCCTCCAATTTTCGTAGAGAATGCTCCACCCAAGTTACTTCCGTTTGTTTCTCTGCAGTCATACAACTTACTGATTCCGTCATTACACACACTGGGACCACTGCTTTACTAGGATCTACAATTCCGGACAAAACTACTTGAGAATTTTTACCCCTCCATGCACACTATCCAACGCAACGACACTATTTCAAAAACAACTGATTTGCGGTACCAAGTTCCCCTTCTCCCAGGTCAATGTTGTTTCCTACAAATGTTTAAGGATCAGGGTTGCTTTAGAACACACAACAACATTGCTTCCAAGGGGAGGGGGGAAGGGAGGACGCGGTATAGCGAGAATGTTAGGAAAAATGGTCTGAGAATGTGACATTTTCTCAACAGTTTTGTCCAAGATTGTGTGTACGGTGTTTTGCGTTTTGCGTTTTGCGTTTTCCAGCACGAAAATTATGAATGACCAAACGAAATGGTATTAATAAAAAACACTTTACAGAGGCTGTTTTGGACACGAAGTTTTACACCACATGATCTTCTCATAGAAAAGTACGAGCTCTTTTTCGGTTTTTTAGAGTACCCTGCGAAAACAGAAAGATTTTGCAATAGTGGCTATAACGCGTGCGCATTGTTACCTTTTGTCCTGTTGTTCAAAGATGGAAGGTTTAGAAAATTCGCAAAGTATTTTATCGTTGTCAGAAGAGTTCGAAGAAGACCGGGATGGCTCTTCTCTTAGTAGCCAAGACGTAAGGAGTGTTTATCTCGTGACATACAGTCAAGCCGATATGGACAAATTTGCCAGACGGGAAGATTTTGCAAGTGCAGTAGTAGAATCGTTTTCTCAAGGACGTGCCAAAGTAAAGCACTGGTCATGTTGTTTGGAAGAACACAAGAATGGAGGATTACACTTTCATCTAGCTATAAAACTAGACCGAAATCAACGTTGGATATCATCGAAAACATATCTACTTGATGTGTACGGAATAAGCGTTCACTATTCAAATCGGCTTTATAATTATTATAGTGCGTGGAAGTATGTTACGAAGTCCGACCCATGCTACATCGACAGTGAAGGACATCCCCGTCTAGATGACACGGAGCCACAGACAAGCTCTGCAAGCCGTTCGAGACGTCAACGTCGGAAAAGAAGTCGTGGAAATACTACTAACTCGGAAATAACAAGCGCGGATGACGACGAGGAAGATAGCGACGGGAAGTCCACTGCTAACTGGAGGAAAAAAAGGAGGAGACTTACCGCGTATGAGGTGGGAGAAATAATTGTTCAAAGAAATGTCACAACTCTTACAGAACTTCAAGCCTTAGCATTTGAAAAAAAAAAACGAAGGCAAGACGGATTTGGCGGAATTTTTAGTTAACCGCAACCCAAAGGTTGTCACCGATGTATTACAAACTGCTTGGGAGATCGAGAATACGCCCAAGAAGTTGGCACGGTCGCGCAAAAGTCGCATGGACCTTCTAGAGGATGCTAAAACTGGCTCCTGTATAACAGGTTGTCATGGTGAGTGGTTAACGTGTGCACAACAAATTTTACACAACAACGGCATTTCTCTGGAATTTTTCCGCACTGCTGTGAAGGATTTACTGGTCAACGGGCGTGGAAAGTACAAGAATATTATGTTAACAGGTCCAGCAAATTGTGGGAAAACATTTTTATTGAACCCACTGACAACTATCTACGACACATTCAGCAACCCTGCAACAGGAACCTTTGCTTGGGTTGGGGTTGACAAAGCAGAATGCATTTTCTTCAACGACTTCCGCTGGTCTCCTCAATTGATCCCATGGGATGATTTCTTGCTTCTACTAGAGGGTCAAACTGTACATCTACCCGCCCCGAAGACCCATTTCTCTAAGGACATTACTGTGAAGTCCGATACACCGATTTTTTGTACTACTAAGTATCCAATTCTCTTTCTCTGGGATAGCGGAAAATCTGTTCCCTGTCTTAGACAAAACCCAGTGGCCTTGCCTCTGGAACTCCCGTGCAATGCTCAGTGGAAGAGACTTCATATCACGTATATGGATAGGTGTCCAACGTGCATAGTTTACATGATCAAGAGCAAAGAATAAAGGTACTAGATCTCCCAGGGCCGCGACATACAAATTGAAGTTATGCTGACGCTGTGCACGTACAACTAGTGACACAAGTGTCTCGTACTCTATGATGGAGTCCCAGAAAAGAAACCTCGGGCTTCTCCTCTTCCTCACTTCCTCCCATGTAGACATTGATGTCTCATCTAAGCACTGGGAAAATGCCTCTCTCTCTAGTTTGTTCAGAGCCAGAGTGGTAACTTGATGGGCATGCCTGAAAAGAAATCATATTGCCGTTCCCAAATAGCTGTAATTGTGACTAAAACAAAGGGGTTTTTCTCAGCAACTCTCTAATTTTAGGTACAATTAAAAACAAGTTTCGTTTGGTACAAAACACCAGACTCCACTAAACTTTGCACTCGCAGAAAAATTAAATAATAGCTTAATGATTAAGCTTTACTGATATCACTCATTCTTATGACCACCCGGTGAGTGTTCACAGTCACTATTATTGTTCTCACTTCGCCCTACCTTGTTCTTGTTAAATGCGTTGCTTTAAGGAAGGAATCCGCCACACCAGATAAGGCGACTTCAGCTTCACTAAGAACGGCAGTCCAGCCTGATTTATCCAGCAAATCACCAAGCGTACTCCATAGTGCCATTTCGACGTGCAGACCACCTAGCATGACGACATACGCTTGCTCTCCATGGGAGACGGGCCACTTCCAGTGAACCAACTTCGCCAAAGCAAAAAGGGGCTGGTCAACGGTGATGGCAAGAACCTGATTTGGGTTGAGAAAGGTTATAGGGTCAAGGCAGGTGGGTGCTCTTCAGTCTGGGTTGAGGCGTGATATGCAGCCCAAGTCACTGTATCACTAGAAGAAATGGATACTTCCTCCAATTTTCGTAGAGAATGCTCCACCCAAGTTACTTCCGTTTGTTTCTCTGCAGTCATACAACTTACTGATTCCGTCATTACACACACTGGGACCACTGCTTTACTAGGATCTACAATTCCGGACAAAACTACTTGAGAATTTTTACCCCTCCATGCACACTATCCAACGCAACGACACTATTTCAAAAACAACTGATTTGCGGTACCAAGTTCCCCTTCTCCCAGGTCAATGTTGTTTCCTACAAATGTTTAAGGATCAGGGTTGCTTTAGAACACACAACAACATTGCTTCCAAGGGGAGGGGGGAAGGGAGGACGCGGTATAGCGAGAATGTTAGGAAAAATGGTCTGAGAATGTGACATTTTCTCAACAGTTTTGTCCAAGATTGTGTGTACGGTGTTTTGCGTTTTGCGTTTTGCGTTTTCCAGCACGAAAATTATGAATGACCAAACGAAATGGTATTAATAAAAAACACTTTACAGAGGCTGTTTTGGACACGAAGTTTTACACCACATGATCTTCTCATAGAAAAGTACGAGCTCTTTTTCGGTTTTTTAGAGTACCCTGCGAAAACAGAAAGATTTTGCAATAGTGGCTATAACGCGTGCGCATTGTTACCTTTTGTCCTGTTGTTCAAAGATGGAAGGTTTAGAAAATTCGCAAAGTATTTTATCGTTGTCAGAAGAGTTCGAAGAAGACCGGGATGGCTCTTCTCTTAGTAGCCAAGACGTAAGGAGTGTTTATCTCATGACATACAGTCAAGCCGATATGGACAAATTTGCCAGACGGGAAGATTTTGCAAGTGCAGTAGTAGAATCGTTTTCTCAAGGACGTGCCAAAGTAAAGCACTGGTCATGTTGTTTGGAAGAACACAAGAATGGAGGATTACACTTTCATCTAGCTATAAAACTAGACCGAAATCAACGTTGGATATCATCGAAAACATATCTACTTGATGTGTACGGAATAAGCGTTCACTATTCAAATCGGCATTATAATTATTATAGTGCGTGGAAGTATGTTACGAAGTCCGACGCATGCTACATCGAGAGTGAAGGACATCCCCGTCTAGATGACACGGAGCCACAGACAAGCTCTGCAAGCCGTTCGAGACGTCAACGTCGGAAAAGAAGTCGTGGAAATACTACTAACTCGGAAATATCAAGCGCGGACGACGAGGAGGAAGATAGCGACGGGAAGTCCACCGCTAAGGGGAGGAAAAAAAGGAGGAGACTTACCGCCTATGAGGTGGGAGAAATAATTGTTCAAAGAAATGTCACAACTCTTACAGAACTTCAAGCCTTAGCATTTGAACAAAAAAAAGAAGGGAAGACGGATTTGGCGGAATTTTTAGTTAACCGCAACCCAAAGGTTGTCGCCGATGTATTACAAACTGCTTGGGAGATCGAGAATGCGCCCAAGAAGTTGGCACGGTCGCGCAAAAGTCGCATGGACCTTCTAGAGGATGCTAAAACTGGCTCCTGTGTAACAGGTTGTAATGGTGAGTGGTTAACGTGTGCGCAACAAATTTTACACAACAACGGCATTTCTCTGGAATTTTTCCGCACTGCTGTGAAGGATTTACTGGTCAACGGGCGTGGAAAGTACAAAAATATTATGTTAACAGGTCCAGCAAATTGCGGGAAAACATTTTTATTGAACCCACTGACAACTATCTACGACACATTCAGCAACCCTGCAACAGGAACCTTTGCTTGGGTTGGGGTTGACAAAGCAGAATGCATTTTCCTCAACGACTTGCGCTGGTCTCCTCAATTGATCCCATGGCATGATTTCTTGCTTCTACTAGAGGGTCAAACTGTACATCTACCCGCCCCGAAGACCCATTTCTCTAAGGACATTACTGTGAAGTCCGATACACCGATTTTTTGTACTACTAAGTATCCAATTCTCTTTCTCAAAAATGGCGTGCTAGATCACCGAGAGACTGAGATGATGAAAGTACGGTGGAACTTGTTTGAGTTGAGTTACGTAATCCCTCGGGAATCGCAGCGCGTGATCTCATCTTGTGGGAAATGTTTCTCCGATCTGATACTAGGTTAAACTTTCAGGGTTAGACAAACTTTGTTCGTAAAAATCGGTTAACTTTTTAGGACAATAGCATACATAGAATAATATCACGATTAACAGAACATTGAAACGGTTAACACAATTTCACTGAAATAAGTGAATGACCTTCTAATTCTTTTATATAGAAGACGTTGTTATTCGTTGTTAATCGTTGCCAATTTTCATAGGGTCTTTCAAATGTCCTGTTAATCGTTCCATATCATAGATCTTCTGAACAGAAAGAGGTTAGGAGGCCACTGTCGCAACATTTATTATCTGTTTGTTTCTAAATAACGAATCTATGCTGTAATTTTTTTCGGTCTAATGTAAATATGAAGCACAGGAAAATAGTGGCAGTGTTACACGTCACGCGATAGTGCATGTTGTCACGTTGTTGCGCGTGACATTATAGTTTTTGCACTCGCTACAATGTCTAAAAGAAAGTACACATTTCAATTTGTAAAGTAAACATTCGAGTTGAGTTAATATTTAATCCTCTGTCCATGTGATTGTTTTATCAATTGTAAGCGGTTATTCATAGACTCGATTGTCTTATCAATTTCTGCGATAGAAAAATTATTTAACGTTGTTGTCACGCGGTCTGAAAATTCACGGAATGTTTCATGTGTTATGTTTTGTTTCAGTGCTTGCTGCCTCAGCTTCTCTCTCATGGAATGAAATAAATTTTCAATGGGATTGACGTCCGGACTGCGGGGAGGAATCTTCAGTTGCTTTGCTTTTAAGGCGTTCAGAGCTCGGCGTACACTCCCAGAATTTTGCACCGGGTCATTATCTTGTACAAAAATACGTCGGCCTTTTTTCCCCGCTTTCCGAAACATCTCAGGAAACTTCTCCCTTACAAATGCAGCAAAGGTTGGCCCGTCGAAGTATTCGTACGGATGACACATTAACACTCCCTTTCCGTAGCTTATGGCAACCATCAACTTCAGTACCTTTCCCCCACTCCCCTCTTTTGAACCTTTCGCGGTACAACCCAGGCTCAGTCCTTCGCACTTCTTTCGCCATATACGCCCCTTAGGTGCTCTCGCTTGATCTGCGGGATTGCGTTTATAAAACAGACTTACACCATTGAGGTAAAAAGCCACTTTCGAAATCCACACATCCGCAGAATAGTTGCCCTGTACTTGTTTTGCGAATATCCTGCGTTTCCTCTGATCGTTTTTAGTCATCAGGCCCTTTTTGCGTGCTTGTAGATAGTAGTACCCGTTTTCGTTCAAACATCGCCGTACAGTTCGATCGCTGACCTTCTTCTTACTCAACCCGGCTCTCTGCATTAACCTTTTCGCGCAAAAATTTCGTTCCTCTTCCCTTAAAACAGGAATACACCGCAGTAGATGTCTTTCATCTTGCGTAGTCAGTTTTTTAAGGCGCCCACCTGGATGTTTTACAGGCGTTCGTGTACAATGTTTCCGCCCTCCTATCTTTGTTTGCTTCAACCTATAGATGGTAGCCGCTGAAACTCCCGTTTTGCTGCTAATATCCTTAACGGAGACATTCTTATCATGTACTAAATATGCAATGTATGCCCGTTCCTCGGCGCTTAAAGCCCGCGTGAAAACCATGGTCAGCCAAAAAATTCAAGAGCGTTCACGACTGACGATTTGAATACAATGCAACGTACAAGAGACTTTTTTAGTGATTAACTTCTGTGCAGTCACTAATTTCTCATCAATTATCTAATTAACTGTAAAATGTACCTAATATATAAAGGAGAGGCTTATATAACCACGCTACATGCGTTAAATCCACAACTTCAGTGAAATACAATCCCGGACAAAACTACTTGAGAATTTTTACCCCTCCATGCACACTATCCAACGCAACAACACTATTGTGAAAACAACTGATTTGCGGTATTAAATTCCCCTTCCCCCAGGTCAATGTTGTTTCCTACAAATGTTTAAGGATCAGGGTTGCTTTAGAACACACAACAACATTGCTTCCAAGGGGAGGGGGGAAGGGAGGACGCGGTATAGCGAGAATGTTAGGAAAAATGGTCTGAGAATGTGACATTTTCTCAACAGTTTTGTCCAAGATTGTAGCTCTACTGGGTGAACCGTAGCTTATTGCTTTGGAAGCACGTGTCCTGTCCCTTTAGGTGGTAGAGTTACTGGCAGTCTTTCCTCGCCAGGATTATTGGTTGTTGGTAACTGAAACACGCTAATACCGGTGCCATGGAACAAAGAAGCTGCCGTCGTAGAAGATGGATTGTGATCTTTGTTTTTTGAAGAGCTCCTATAGTAAAAATTCCCTTTCTCAGGCAAGCAGGTACCACACAGCCATCCATTTCAAAGCGCTCACTAATAGAGGTAGCAAGCACGTCCTCCAATTCTATGATCCTTTGGTAAGACACTAAGACACACTTTGAACGAACAATGGCGTAAAGCCATTCGTCACCGCAACAAACTTTGGAAGAAGTTCACGCATCAGAGGACCGACGCTAATTACGCCGAATATAAGAAACAAAGAAACAAATGCACGTCAATTAGGCGCAAAGCGATTAAAGATCATTTTAAAAACAAGTCAGAGACCGACAATCCACGTGCATTTTGGGAGGCTTATCGTCCTTTTATGCATTCGAGGTCCAGTAAACAAGCCAATGACATCACACTAATTGAAAACGATGTGGTTATTACGGATAAGAAAGAACTAGCTGAATTGTTCAACAACTATTTTGTTCACATCGTTGATGATGTACAGGACATTAAAGAAAATAACTTTGGAAATGAATTCAGTGCACACCCCAGCATTCGAGCAATTGCAGAGGAAAACAGAAGAAAGAACGCCACACATAATTTTAATTTTAAATACACCAATAAGACCCAGGTTGAAAAACTACTATCAAACATCAACGCACGCAAGGCCTGCGGCCACGACACCATAACTCCGCGGCTTCTTAAGGAATCCGCTTCTGCGATATCTGGTCCACTAGCAGAGTTAATGAATGAATCGATCAAACAATGCAAATATCCTTCTCGATGGAAAATGGGGCAGGTTACACCTCTTTTCAAGAAAAATGATGAATTGAGTAAAGAGAATTATCGACCCGTTA